ATCAGACAACTAAAATTAGTCTAATTTTTTAGGGCATCTAGCAAAAAATAAAGATAAATTTACTCTCATTTTTTTAATATAAAGAAAAAAGCTAAAGAAAACACAATTTTTAAAAGTTTTTTTTGTTTTTCTGCCCCAATTTTTTTTTTGGGGTGGGGGGGGGGGGGGGGGGGGGCTTGGGAGGGCAAACAAAAAATTTTTTTTTTGCCTTATAATCATCATATCACCATAATTATCATGATCGTATAATGATCATTATCTTCCTCATCATGTGGTATATAATTAAATACAATCTAATAATCCTGTATTTATTTGGGTATTTACGTAAATGTATGATACTTGAATAAATATACAACCCAATGAATAATTGTTTTTGGTTGAATTAATATTATATAGTACATTGATTTATAATATTAATACATACAACCTAATAAATCAGTTAATGAGGCTTTCCTAATAAGAAATGTTAATTAATGCTAATTGTTTTAGTATTATTTATTTTTGTTAAATAAATACCATCTAATAAGATCTGAAAATAGACATGAATATAGCTCATAGGCCCATAATTCCTATAATAGCACTCAGCATTGTTTCTTTAAAATGTTACACTTTAAAAACAAACCAACGTAAACATTATAGTTCTATATAAATACATAAATGACACTTTATAATAATTGTATAATTACTAAATTAATTATAATTAAATTTCTAGCTCAAAAGCAGTACTAACTTAAATTAATATCAACCTAATCATTAACAGATTTTTGCATTAATAATAACTAATAACAAATTGAACAATGTATTTTAAAAATGTTTACTCATGATTCTGCCTTGAAAAAAAATTATAAACACAACACTTAATAATAATTCAATCTAATAAATCAGTTAATTACGCTATATGTATTTAATTAATTATATATAATTAATAAATAAAACGTAATTAATACAACTAAATAAAAACTGTTAATCAGGTTGTTTTAGTATCATTTATTTTTTATACATACCACCTAATAAGATATGAAAATAGGCCTATAGCACTACACAACATTTTTATCTTTAAAAATATGTCACACTTTCAATATCTATTTCAAAAACAAAAACCAACATACACTTATAGTTGTATCTTTGAAATGCAAACAGAGAAATATATTTAAGTAGTGAGTAGTAGTGTGTATCTGGTAGTTTATATTTATGTGTGTTTTATCAGGTTCATACACTAATAATTATAAAGTGAGATTTAAATATAAAAAACTATAACTGTTGGCTTTAATTATATATTTTTTTTAATTATAAACAATATCTGATACTAATACAACATAATTAACACATCTTAGTTATGGTAAAATATTTAATCAAATCAAATTTGTAAGTAGATTAAACACATTTTATGTTTGTTTTACTTTGTCTTTGAAATGTAAACAGAGGAAATCAGATATAAACCACCCAGGACAATATAACCACCCGGACGAAAACCACCCACAATGGAATATACCATTGTTAAAGTGGGGTGGACAATGTTGGGTGGGCCTGTTTTTATCAGCTTTACAACAGAATGTGACTTGCTATTATACGCCTTTAATTCATTCAACTGTTATGTCAACATGCATGTGTGTTAATAATTATTGTAGATTTCAGTAATCACTGTGCTTAAAGTTTGCCTTTTTTTTTAATGATTTTAACTCCTATTTGATATTTTTAATTAAATGTAACATTTATACCTTTGATTTAATCTTCAATATTAAATATGTGGAACTTAATTTTTATGTAATTTTATGTATTTTTAATCTTTAGACATTATTTTTTATATCATTTTGTATTTTTATGGCGACACTGTTTTTTGTGCTTTGACAAACTGTTGGGTCTTTAATAAATACAAGAAAAATAATTATGAAAATAAAAGTGTAGGCCTAATAGAATTAAGAAAAAGTGGTCCGGCCAAAGCTGGTGCGGTTCGACGGCCCTGATATAAGTTCAAAGCATGTTACTCATAGGTTAGAAATACGTTTTGGGTACACTAGAAATTATCTCGACATATTCGACTTTTGAGTAACTTACAAGTAAAGTGTGTCAACGATCGCTTAACTTACCTACAACTTATAGCCCGCGTATGCGGAACAACATATGAGCCATACGCTGGCATAGGTCGAAAAGTTTGTGTGTGCATGCACAAAACTTTTCGACGTACTTGCCGTTCTAGGAGGTATACCAGTGTGCTTCAGCGTGCTCTTAACTTATACAAAACTTACCAATAACTTACTCGACAGACGCCAGCATATTCGCCAATTTTTTCATATGTCGGCTTACGCTGGCTAAATCGTCAAGGTGTGACAGGGCTATAAATTTCACTGTTCCCTGCATAAACAATGTATTTTTGCAAAAAAATTAAACAATAACATGAGTGTTTTTGGGACTGATCATTATCATCATTATAACCATCAATATTAACTTTATCATAGTCACCCCCATTTATCACATTAATTATCAATTATGACATCTGTCACCTATTTGAACTGCCTAGCAACCAGAAACTCTTCATATCTATCAATTTCCATACCCTTCTACATCTATTGTTACCAGATCTTTGTGCAGGCAATATCATCCGACTGTTCACACAGGCTGAGGCAGATAGGATTTTCACTCACTTTGTCACCCTATAGTTTCTACATATACAAATTGTTTCTCATATAAGTTTTCTAAGCAGTTCTCATAAAACGCAGTTCTACATTCTTTTATAGATACCGATTATTACCCGTGCTCCATTATCTATCGTATTTGCACAAAAAAATCAAGACACAAAATAATCTTTAGTACATAAATTATGTTTTATGACTCGAACAGCTATCGGATTACGTTCAGAAACCTATCTAGGTTGTAAAACACTCCCCAGGTTTGCCTATGGCTGGAAGACGATATCTCAATAAGGGTCGTCAATACGCTTTTCACCATTAAGTTAATATTGATAGCTATTTAATGGTTTGTGCGACATAGAAGCAGAACGCTGTTTGAATTCATTGTTTGCTGTGCAAATGGTACTGTACTTCAATCAAACCGGTTGATATGATTTTTTTGTTTTTGGTGCAACGTTACATCACATAGCAAACATGGATGAAATTGCTTTACAAAATGCATGACACAGCGATGGTATGACAGAATTTGTAAAAAATTTGAATGAATTATATTCCTGGAAGTTGACAAATTTGCATAAATTATACATAAATACATAGAAAGACAAGCAATAATAATGAAAGTGTTTCTGATGGAAGTAATGATAGAAAACAAAAGTATTATTTTTTAATTGTGGCAACCATTATATTTGTTTGTACCGTCAATATCATTTAGCATTTATTTTTTGTAGCTTCCATTTATGAACTGTATCATCTACTTTGTGTAGCATTTTATTTAACTACAATGTACTAACATCCATTATTGTAACATTCTCCTATTAGGGGTTGGGGAGCAGGCCACCCAACAAGTGATTAGAATAGGGGGCATAAACACCTTGCTGGTGCTGTCACCAACCTCTATTTATCTATTTCATCTCATGTGTTTTGTGTATCATCTACTGATGTATCTACTTCATTTTGCATAATCTATTTTACATACGGCGAGACTATTTTTTATACCTTGTTTAGTGAATCCGACGACTGCAAATATTGATTTCAAATAAAAATAACATTTTATATTTGACAAAAAAGCGCACCCGCTGCTACGAAAAAGTGTAAATTTCAGAAAAGAAGTAAAAGGCTATCTTTATTATTATTACGCCTTCTGCTGCCTTGAAATCTCCAAAGATAACATGTATATATTTCTTCCTAATTATATAAATTTGAAGCATTTAATCATCCTATTTTACATTCACCAATAAAATTTTATTTTCATTTTCTCCTCCGCCTGGATGATTTTGGCAAAACTGTTTGTTAATAAGAAAACAAAATTTTATTTTTATTCTGCCCTCCTCCAATAATCTTTAAAAAAAAAAGTATGTGAAACAAGGAATAAAAAAAGTTTTGCCTAATCCATTTGATATTCATTTATATAGCATCTGTTTATCAAGCATATGTACTGTATGTATCATTAAAGCATCTATTTTAGTCTATATTTTTTAGCATCTATTTTGATGCATCTATTACGATGTATTCTCAATTTATATAGCATTATGTAACATTAATATATTCAGTATTTATGATCAATTATATATATTAGCTAATATATTTGCAGTAATGATATAAGTGTTACAACAATTACATTATTTATGATGAAAAATTAAAGTGATGATAATGATAAACATTATGATGATGATGGTGGTGAGTTAATGACAATGGTGATGTTAATAAAGATGATGATAATAATGATAATGACATTGATGATGATGATATTATCTTTATTATGATAACAATGATCAATAGTAACTTAAATCATGTAATGGTTATTTTTTAATATTTATGTATATGAAAAATGCCAAAAAATATATTAACAATTATAATACAATTTGTTGAAATTATTGATGTGTCTACTAATGCAAGTTAATATCATTTAATTTTTTTAATAAAATATTTTCTCCCAGTAAATTAAAGTCTGATTGAAAGATAATATGTTGCATATTCAGTTGTTATGACCATTTTTTCTAACATCCTTTTGCAATTACATCAGAACATGATGTATTGGTAAATATCTTTATTATTATTATTAAAATCATCAATATGGATAGCAATTATTTTCTCATATTTCATGGGAAGTTAGTCATTAATTGAACCTAATTAGGAGCACTTGATTTTCTAATTGGCAGTAATTGTTACCTACATACACAGTTTAATTTAACAGCATGGTAAGATTTCAAACCATTATGGATAGTAAAATGATTTAGAGAAACAAAAAACCCCCAGGGGGAAATAGCTATGAGAAACAAAAGTATTTTTGAGAGTGGCCATAATGGATTACAGTGCTTGAGTCAATTGAGTCATTAGACGAAGTGAATTGGATTACTTTCCGATTCTGAAGAAGATGGAGCCCTGCTAATGTGTCCGCTGATTCTCCGAGAACAATTGCCAACTTATTATTGTGCAAATGCCGCACACGGGTTAATCTACGGCTCAGTCACAGGGAAGACACCGACTCTATTCTAAGCTGCCTCACCATCAGAATTGAATATTAGGACGTTTTGTGTAACAAGAAACGGATCAGTAAAGAGAACAGTTGTTCAGCATGCCATTGGCAGTTCCTAATATCTACAAGGTGTTTGAACTTCAAAGTCTACATTTCCCATGAGGAATGAAACTGACTTCCATATCTTTTAATTTTCTAACTTCACAAGCATCAATTACTATACTGTTAGCTGTAAAACGCTCCGGACACAAATTCTAACGTGGTAGACAGTTGTGCGGAACTTGACCACGAGGAAGTCTCTACAATTTGTAATTACTGATTTGAAGAATCGCACATTTTTGGATAATTACTTTTCATTTATTATCTATCGCTGCAACTGTGTCAACAGATTATCCAATTCAGAATCGAGAGCTGGATTATTCTTGTGCATTTATCATATATGCAAAAGAGTCATACTGCCCAAGATTTAATCTCATAAAAACTGCACACTACTTGCGCTGCTGCATAAAACATCTTAATTGACGGATGTCATATTAACGGGACAATCTCATCTCAACCATTCTGGATTTCTTTTCGGAAGGATTACAACACAGGCAACAAGAGGGAACTTTACACCTTGAAAAGCATTCATATCAAGCAGTGATATAAAAAGCAAAAATCTATTCTTTATCAGTGTTGAAGCTGAGAGTTTCTGTCAGGACTCATCTCATAAGAACCAAAATTACTTCCTTAAGGTTAGTACAAAAATGTTTTCATAATTTAATCATAAAATATTATTTTAAAATTGTTTATTGTGGTGGTGAAAGCATACTGCAATTTGAATTCTTACAAATTTGAATTTGTTATAATAATATAATGCAAGTACTATAACTATAACGTGTTAAAAACATGCACATACTGTACGAAATAAAAATGGTAAAGTAAATCATATTAACACACTTTAATGGTAGCACTGCAAGACAAAAATCTGTGAAGAATCCTGTACTGGGACACAGATTGTCAATGGGTGTTATGATCAAATTGGTAGTGATACTTAGTATATGATAGTATTAAACATTTTTTTACATGCAACATTGGTATGATCTTTTTTTTGCGCAGCAAAATACAAATTTTACTTAAATTAATTTATTTGGGCATTAAATAGTAATTCCACCTCCTAAGCCCAAAATAGGACTAAATTTATAGCACATTACATAGTTCCTATTTTCTCAATTTGCAAATAGCTTTTATATGAAATAATTCTTTTCAAAAGTAAGTTGATTTTTAGTGAGCACTATAATAAAATTCATAATTAAAGTAGCGTGTGTACTACATATGCTCTATAATTATGTTAATTTGGACATTACATAATTATTCAACCTTCTAAGCCCCAAAACATGACTAAATTTATAGTACCGGTATATTACATAGTTCCTATTTTTTTAAATTTGTAAATAGATTTTATAAGAAATAATTCTTTTTAAAAGTGAGTTGATTTTTGGTGAGCATTATATTAAAATTCATAATTAAAATATAATGACATAATTAACGTCAAAATATTGAATCCTGACACGATGGCGTGCATTAGTATGTATTATACTATCCTAAAATACAATGTGTACTATATAATGCTACTATAATTATGTTAATTTGGACATTACATAATAATTCAACCTTCTAAGCCCCAAAATAGGACTAAATTTATAGTACATTACATAGTTCCTATTTTTTTAAATTTGTAAATAGATTTTATATGAAATAATTCTTTTTAAAAGTGAGTTGATTTTTGGTGAGCATTATATTAAAATTCATAATTAAAATGTAATGACATAATTAACGTCAAAATATTGAATCCTGACACGATGGCGTGCATTAGTATACTATCCTAAAATACAATGTGTACTATATAATGCTACTATAATTAAGTTAATTTGGATGTTACACAAATTTCAAGCCCCAACATAGGACTAAATTTATAGTACATTACATAGTTCCTATTTTTTTAATTTGCAAATGGCTTTTAATGGCTATTAAAAAATTCTTTTTAAAGGTGAGTTGATTTTTGGTGAGCATTATATTAAAATTCATAATAAAAATAGAGTGTGTACTACCTAATGCTACTATTATAAATGGGGATGCAAAAATTTGATCTCAATGGCATTTCAGTAATGATTATTGATTGTCTTCAGAAACACTCCCTTAGGTGCATGTAAAAGATTCACAAACACCCTACAAAGAGATTACATATTTATTTATTCTTTCATCGGGAGCAGGAATGCATTTTTCATAGACTAACCGTGCACTCTAAAGCAACATTTAATTAGATATACAGCAGTCTAGCTAGATGCTAGAAAGACAATTTGTTGAATATATAAATGAATGTATATCTTTTTAAAAACTCACATTCTGAACAGAATTGAGTATCAGAAGAATTGCATAATAATGAAGAATCTAGAACATTACTGTATATAGAGTTGCATACACAGCACCGGTCATGCTAACAGGAGCATGACTACACAGTAGGCATAGCAACACTGCCTTTTTTTGAGAAAAACCTGGAACAACAAAAATGAAATTAATATTTTTCCGAGTAAAAAAATGAATTCTTCCTAATGTCTCGAAATGAGATACGATCCATAGCGTAATATTAACATGAGGATCAATTAATTTCCATCAACACCTAACAGCTGTGGAGTACATAAAAACAAACCAAAACATGTTATGGTTATCGAACATTACGGAATTCCCCCCAGGGAGCTGAGTATGTGTTCCATATGTGCTTGATCCAATTACTGGGGTATATAATGTGAGACGCTTAGAGTCCTTGTTGGCAGGAAGTGCTATATAAGTCTAACATATTATTAAACACAAAACATATTTTTATAAAATTCATTTCTATTAGGCCATATACTCTTATTTTAAATACAATTTTTAATAGGGACTAGTGACACAAGGGAAGAATGGAGCACATTTAACAAGAGAGCGATACTTCACTTTTTAACTTGGTTGCCAAAGTATCACCCAATTGAATAAAAAACCAGGAGTGAAAACTTGACATATGAAATTGTGTTCTAGGCCCATAGGCAAATTCATTAAAATTCACTAGGAAATATTAAATGTCAACATGTTCATCCATATTCCTGGCCAAGATAAATGATCAAATCCCCAAGTAGGGTGATGAATATTTTATGATGCCAGATGTTATTTTTTGTATACTGTTAATTTATTTAATCCATGATAATGAACGATTTATCAGAAGTTGTAAAAGTTACATTTGCACATCTTTTGTGTTATTGTACATTTTATTGGGGCCAAATTCATCTGAATCTAGGTTGAAAATGTAAAAATCCAAATTCTTTATTATCCGAGATGGAGTACATAGTCTTGTTTATAAACTAACCATAGACCAATGAATCCGTCCCACTGTCGTACCACTTGCCCAATGTGAAAGCGACAGATCACCGGTTGAAATGTTCCATGTTGTGACATTTTATCGATTAATGGTCAAAGCAAAATTACATTGCCACTGTATTGGCCAACACTCCCTCATGTTTTATGGCATTATAGGCTTTATTTTCCTAAAAACCTCACCAGAGTTATATAAAAAAAATCAAAGGAGTCAGGCTTTTAATTGTATCAGGATGGAAGATGTACAAACCAATTGTCTTTATGAGGCTTAGGGAGTTACAGTAATTGGAACCCAGGACCTGGGATTAGAAGGCAAGCATCTTAACCACTAAGCTACACAACTCCATACTTGGAAAAAAAGAGAGAATTTGACATTTAATGAAAAAAGCAATTTTAAATACTAGAAGTATGCATGAGTCTGAGCATGAACCCTTTATAGGATTGTGAGAATCCCACAATGTTAAATATTTTGCAAGCAGTTTAGGATGCCAGTGGTTGATGTTCGTATAGTTTTTAGTGGACTTAATCAAAATATAATTAAACTTGGTTATGAACTTCAATCACACTTTATGCCCAAAATGATCTGGAAATTCTAGGCATAGCCAACTCAATAATACACAGCCCAGTGAAACCTAATTAAATTTCTTTACTTCATGCTTTCACACTGTATGGTCGATGTTACCAAGTTGGTAGAAGTAATTTTCTGATTGCGTATGGTTTCCAACAAGGCTGAGTCAAATAGGTGTTTACGGTTAGGTTCATACTAGAGCCACAGTATCCGAATCGGGAGCTAACCTTTAGGACCCGTGTGAGAGCGCTAAACGTTATCAGGATCTTGATATGCTAACCGTTAGTAAACGCTATCGGTTAGCAAGTTGAACGCTTTTAATTTCAAGTTTCCAATTGGCCAGAAAAAATTAAAATCAATGTTTGTTAATATAGAAAACAATATTTAAATCTATACTCTCTCTGTAATCATTTAAATTACATGCTGGACCATAATAAACTTTGCATCAATAAAGAAAGACAACTTTTAGCTAGGCCTGGAATCATTGATAATAGCGGTATAGGCCTACATTCATCCCTATAATCACAGCTAACTTACCATACTAAAGCTTTGTCTACACTATCAAATTTTATGTGAAAAAAAATGTGATGTGTCCATATATGGGTACGATTACGTCATATCACATACTATCGTCCATATATGGGTACGATTACGTCATATCACATACTATCAAATTGTATAAAAAAAAGTTGAACATGTTCAACTCTTATTTTCCATCATATGTGATGTATTTTTTAAAGAAATTTGATAGTTGCTATAGACAAAGCTTTATGGAATAAAAATATTTGAAGTTGAATTGTACATTTCATACATCATTTTCATGGTAGGCCTAGTTTCACAGTACTGATATTGCCAATATAGCCCTTGATGTTATATGAATCAAAAAATTTATGTAAACTTTGCAAAAGGACATAGAAATTACATCAATGTCCAAAATCGCATATTGCAATTTTCGCCTCTAAGTGGGAACGAAGCGTTCCTGTTGGACGATTGTTATAAAATAAATAAAATGGGTTTCAAAATACGGAGCATGTTTGTATCTGTGTGTATAATATCCGTTATAGTATTTGATAGTATGTGATATGACGTAAAAAAAAAGAAAAGATGATTCAAGTACACAAGCTTTGCAGACCTTAAATTTGGAAAATTTAGAAAACAAATTGTATAAAAATGCCTCCTAGCCCCAGATAGTCCCTCTCAAACCCTCTCTTTGATACAAGACAATTCCCAACAAATTTACCGGAATTAATTTTTGGATAGAATGAACACTTGTGACTGATATTGATTGACAACACTCTAATTTCATACAAGAACAGACACGAGACAGAAGACACAACTAGAAAGAAACTAGATTTACTACTGTTTCTAGAACAAAAATCACAAACAACAATTTTAAAACCATTTAAAAAGTATAAAGTAGTAAAAATAATATAAAAAACAAAACAAAAAATATTAAACAAAATTATGAAGTAAAAATATAATAAACATGAAAACCAACATCACATCATGGAGACATAAACTATGGCTGCAGTGGTAATAGCAAAGCATGACGTTGAGTGTTCTTACCATTACGCTAAAAACCAACCGTGGAGGTCAGTGTATTTTTTAGTTCTTCTACCTTGCATAATGTTATAAGTGTTATAAGTCAAGGGCAAAAATGTTCATGCATTTCAGGGTAATTTGTCTTTAACATAGTAGTAGCTAGTTTGAAAAGCTTTAGAAAAGCAAATTAAACATAAAAATTTAATTACAAGTTTATTAATATTCAAAATATGTAGA